CCACGTTGTTTATATCCAAATATCAGGTCGATCCAATGATGTAGCTGACAGGAAACCAAATCCGATTCCAATGCCTGCATGAAACAAAAAAGGAACGAGAGAAGGATGCAGAATAAGGCAGATAAATATGACATGAGTAAGGATTATTTTCACCAAATAGTCGGAGCGAGTAGGGATCTTGGTATATATTCTACATGGAAAGATCGAAAGCCGCGATTGGCACAGCTTCCAAGCAAGCGTGTTGCCTCATTCTATTGTATACACAATATATTATAGTAAGGAAGAGGGGAAATTAGTCGTAGGGATACCGTGTGATTCACAGAAACGAGGAGAGTTACGCATCGGTGGAGGAGTTTGAGAGCCTCAGGGGTGATTTGGTGGAGAATAACACAAGTGGACCACCAACGCCCCGAAACGTTTCATTCCTTGAAATTAAGCCCATCTAGGCATTGTCCACTACCCTGAAACCGCATCAAGTTTCCTCTCCATTCTCCCTATTTGTTTCGTTATTTTTCCATGGGTCCTGGTGATTGATCGGATCAACACATGATCGGTCACGACGGAGAAAAGTGAGCTAGGTTATGGCATCGACTAAATCCGGCAATTGTGACTGCATAAAAAAGTTCATCAGATCCAGACGATCGCTTGTGCAAGCGCATAATTATCAACTTTAAGGAGATACCTATATATCATTCCGTTTCGTTACGCGCCGGAAAGCTTTAAAGCAGATTCGAACAAACGAATAAAGAGAAGTCTAACACCGGAGACTGGTTAGATCTACAGTCCATGTAAACGTGTGACCGAAAGAATTGCACGGAATCGTTCGACTCGCAACAGAGAGGAAAACCGGTTTCCAACCACAATACGATAGTTGTAATCCACCCATACATATTCGAACAGAAACACATACCTGTCTATGTATGCGAACAAAATCTTCTGGTGTGGCGGCCCATGGAGGCAATTCGACAGTAGCAATATTTCGCCCATCCTCCGACAAGCCGAGATTTAACCCGTTCGGATTTTCAAACATTTCTGATAGATAGAAGAATTCCGGGATCAATTCCTTCACATCGGAAGTGCTTCTTTGGCAGTTGTCCCATGTACGGCCGACCGAGAAAAATGTTCGATCTGGATGATCGAACTTACCACCCTGTGGATCAGAGATAGGAAAGAACGGAAGCAAGGGGTATTTAGGCTTGAAGGTAGTTGAAATGTTCAAACTGAAGAGGAAACGCGGAATAAACAAAGTGATGCGGACGAAATAGCGGCCTGTAGTACACAGCCAATGACATGTCACCTAACCTGACGCACGGATAACTTCGTTCACTGACTGGATAGCCCTTGTGAGGAAGGGACACAGATGTGAACAGTTCGTGATGGTGTCATTTGTTGTGCCTGAGTTTAAGCGCCTATCTATCAGTGAGAAGCACTCTGGGTTGGAAATGCTGAATCAGATGAGTGCAACTCAGAGCTCTGTGACACAATAAATTGATATTTAAAGGAAAATTGTTTACAATATTGCATCTATCGAACAATTTTCGGAGAATTCATCAACGCTGGTACATTTCAGGGCTAAATCCCCCATAAAAGCCACGCATAATTTCTAGTCAGTTATTCAGGTAATCCTGGGCTGAATCACTGCTAGATAGGAAAGGCACGGCGAGCTCCCTTAGGGTGTAGAGCATTGTTTGTAAGTAGGCGATATTACAAAGAGTGCTTCATGGTGAATTCAAGGCTGGATTGCTTTCACTCTTAGTCAGATAGATGCGGATTCAACCCCACAAAGAGATAGACAACTACTCCAGTGTATTACTTTCTAGGTTTGCGGGGAAAGTTTGATGGTATCGTGTGATGGACGAGGTTCGAGTGGAGTTACTGCATGCGACTCATGGATATTTCAATTGTGATATTTTAGTGCAGAGTAAGCAGCTATATATTACAAGCAGCTGCCAGAATCAATCGTAGGTTTCAAAAGACACCGAAGCCCCGGTC